GGACTCTCAGCTGCTGTCCATGTTGGCCCCATTGAACCCGGGAGACCAAGCAACTTTTCGTGGTGCAGAATGGGAAGTCATCCGTACAGAGGATCCAGCCACAGTGCACAGTATGAGTTTTGACGCACAGTCTGCAGACATGATTCCGATGTTGCACATATTGATGGATCAAGGCAGCATCGGGTGTGCCGCCAACGCATTTTCCTTGGACCAGAACTTGCTCGTACATTACAGTTACGACAAAATCCATCGCCTGCATAGGGATATCAAGGGGCCGCTCAGAGGACAACTCCACAAAAATGTCCTCCTAACGACGTTCATGTGGACCCTGAACTACAAGCCCTTCGGCTCTGGCGGCTTCTTTGCAGAGAAACAGGACGCACTCGAAAGTTTTCTGCAGTCCAACAACGAGGCCAGGCTTTTCCAATTCTCAATATTGTACAATTCATATAATAATATAGTCAGTATTTGTTTAACCAATACAATTCTAGTTGTACCTCAGCCAGGAAAGCGAAATCTTCGACAAGTACAAGACTCGCATTGCTTTCGAGTTTAACATGAGGGGAGCCTCAGACCACGATGTTTGGACCGCGCTTCCGGAAAAAATGACATCCTGGAAAGTCAAGGGGGGTTGCACGAAACCGTCTCGGTGGTTTTCGTGGAATGAGGCTGCTGCGGAAAATCTGTCCGAGTTTACGGCCTCCCGAATGGTTTTGGAGTGGTACCTTCGTTCCGAGCAAGGTCCGGATGACATCAACCAACCTCAATTGTGTTTCAAAGAAGCTAAAGGACTGACACTGGCCTATCTGGGCCATTCATGGGTGACTTGGGAGAACGCACACATTATTGCACGGCTGCAGGAGCCTTGCTGGGACTACTACAGTGCACAACTCCACGAGATCAAAACTGTCGAGGACGCTTTGACCGAGACACAGGTCATGAGCACTAGCTGGAACCAGCACTGGAGTTTGAGAGGAATTGCGGCAATCATGGTTTCCGAAGAGACTTGGGATGATTTGCTGTTTTGGGTCCAGGAGTCTGAAACATTCATAACGAAAGTCATGGATTATGGCTTGGAGATGCTTGCGAATCGGTGTGCAACATTTTCCAAGTATGGCTCCCCTCCGGAGTGTTACACCCAAGTGCTGAGTGGTCCTTCTCCCCATGCCATCAATGCCATGAAACTGATGAAGACAGATTGGCTTTGCTTGCAAAGCCTTGAATGCAGTGGCGCGCCTAAGGCTCGCATGCTGAGTGCAGATCTCAGGTTGACTTTTGATCCTTGCATGCGCTACACTGCCCTTCAGTTTCAGTCAGTTGGCTGGCGTTTGAATTACCAAGCAGGACTAGATTTGTTGCGCTTTCTCAGAGCCACATTTCCGGACAGCAAGATCGTCGAGGATTGTCACCAACTCTTACGAACAGCCACAGGTCCGAAAGCACACCAAAAACTCACGGGGACATGTATCCATCAGCTGCTGACCAACTCCGACATATTGGAGTGTCGGGGCATGGCTCACCCTGCCAAGTTGAGCAGAGAGAAGTTCCTGAGGTACTGGCACAAGGCCAAGGATGATTTCAGAGCCAATCCAGAATTGGTTGCCGCACATCACAAGCTCCCCAAGGAAATGTCGAAAGTCCTAGCAACCAAAACGTGGGACACCATTTCTGAACAACAATTGATTGTTTCTGCAGCATCATGGTTCTTCCTGCGCTACTATTCGCAGAACAACTTGAGCACGCAGAACGTGAAATTGAAGGCCTGGGGTGAATCAGCAAAGTAGCGGTCTGTGATTGAATAGCTCTGTTCTAAGAACAACATGTTCCTGAGGACTGCTTGTGGGCTGTGTTTGCCCAGTTTGGGCAAATCATTACTTTGCGCAATGTGGAAGAGACCTACATTGTTCTGGGATCCTTCAAATGGGCAGTGTTGGCATGGCGGTTGTCCGAAGTTCATGAGGGCGGCAGGTGCTCGTGCTGGCAGTTGCAAGTGGAGGCCGGTTGCTCATGGCAGTTCCTTCACAACCCTGAGGAATGGGAAGCATGTGAAGCCACTCCGAAATTGTCAACACAGGCAGGACTCTATTTCAAAGCCACGTGTGGTTGGGAACCACTTGTGCAAAACACTTTGCGCTCCGGGCACAAAAGGACCTTTGCGGAGTTGACATTGATTGCGGACTACTTGAATGTGACACAACCCCACAAGAATTCCAAGAAGGAGTTGTTGAAACAGTGTCAGGAGTGTTTCGGAGAAGAGTTTGCAGAAGCTTGCCGTGAAGCTGCAGAGTCAGACACTCAGAAGGCTCCTGATGCAGATATGCCTGATGGTTGTCTATCAGCATTGTTGGACAACATGGAGCCCTCAGATAAACAGGATTTCCAGGACTTGGAGAAAGCCCTGATGCGACAGGAACAGCAGGCCGAGCAACAACGTTGGCAAAACATGTGGGATGAGAAGGTTGCAGAACAAAGGCACCCTGGCAAGACCTTCCAGTGAGTTTCTGAGCTAGGCTTAGACTCAATTGTTGTGATTCAAATGTGACTCAATTGTGACTCAATTGTGATTCGATTGCAGGCCAAAAGAGCGAGGAGAGCTGTGGCAAAAGCCAAAGCAAAGTCAAAACCGTGTGCCAAAGCAAAATGCAAAGGCAAGGGCAAAGGAAAAGGCAAAGGCCGTGGCAAAGGCAATGGGTTTGGAAGAGGCACAGCTTTGGGCTTGCAAGGGCTGGCTCGCAGGCAAGCAGCGTCACGAAAACGCAAGGAGCAGGTGCTCGAACAAATGCCCGGACCAGCAGTGGAAGAAGATCCAGATATCGCTGAACTCCAAGAGGAGTTGGAAAGCCAGCTGTTGGAAATGAATGTCATGGACGATCGAACAAATCCTGATTCATTGCCGGCAGAGCCTTGTGTCCATGCTCCCAGTCCAAGAGAGCCCGCCCCCTCACCGGAGCCTTGCGCCCATCCTCCCAGTCCACACACTGGTGAAGGAGAGCCCGCCCCCCCGGCGGAGGAGCCCTGTGTCGATGCTTCCCGTCCACACGCTGTGCTTGGTGGTGCCGGGGTCGCACACGAGGAAACAAAAGTGCAAGCACAGCCATCCAATGGGACCTTGCCGGATCCAATATCCGGGCCAAGGGACAGTGGAATGGCACAGGCCTCGTCCTCGAGCGGATCAGCCCCTGAGCAGGTCCTTGATGATGCTGCACATCGTGGCCAGGCATCGCAACGTGCTCCGCGCGAGCATGGTCCACACTTGAATAACACTCCCGACTTCCTGTCGGAGTTGGATCCACCCGAATACTTCAAGTTGCGTCTCAGCTTCAACGATCATCGCTTCAAAGCCGAGATCATGACAAAACAGTATGTGTCAAGTGAGGGGAAAAAGTCTTGCAGCAAAAGCTTTGCTAACGACAGATCAGACTGGAAGCAAGCACTGGCTCAAGTGCATCGCTGGGCGTGGACAGAGTGGGAGAAGGCCAAACCTGAAAGGCAACTGCCGCCTCATTGTCAGCCTGGCACTATCCCTGAGGCTGGCCTGGAACGCCTTGCCCCGATTATCGACGCAATGCCTCCGCCCACAAAGTATGCCAAGTAGCCTCTTCAGTTTTTTTGGTGATAAACACATCACAGGGGAAAACATGTCAGCAGGTTGCAGATTTCTGTCAATGTCATGTATGCAAGTATCGTGTTCTTAGCTTCAAGTCTTCGGTCGATTCAAGACGTCACAGGGAGTGAGTTCATCCAGCCGAGTCCAATGTGTGTGAATCTGCTCCTGCTGTCATAGCGGCAACATGTTCGATTCACAATTTTGGCTTCAGCTTGTGTGCAGTTGCTGTTCATTCTGTGATTGAGTCTTTACAGTTACGTTGCAATTACAGTTGCTGAATGCCTGAAGTGTGCAATTGAAGATGACATGACATGAAGTCTCACCATAGCTATGCTGCAGATTGCTCGGGGAGAAAGCGATCAGCAAAAAGAAGCCTTCCTGACATTGTGTCCTGTTAGTTTGTGGAATGTGCTTGATATGCCAGGCAAGCATTGAATCCATTTGTTGCTCAAGTTGGACCAGAGGTATGGTTTAAAGTTATGTGGGACAACAAATCAATGTATTGATGTCAGTGAATCACCAACATGTCCAATTTCCAGTGGCCGTGCCAGCATGGGCTGGGATCATCGCTGGTCTTCAGTGGTAGTGCTGGGCCTGTGAAGCCAGCACGCAAGAAATGCAAAAGGAAAAAGAATGCTGCAGAGTCATTTGAGTTGGGAGGTAGATCAGTGGAGCGCCCGTGTACTCTTCCTGCCTTGAATTTTACAGATACAGTTTCAAGCACAGGAACTGATGAAATTGATGATCGGTTTGACACTTGGGTAGAGGACGTCTTCGAGCAAACATCGCGATTGCAATGTTCGCATTTCCTTCCGTTTGCTTCCTTGTCTTTCTCCCCAAGGCCGGAGTCTGTTCAAGGTGTTATGGGTCACAGATTTTGTTATAATATGAATTTTCATTAATGTAATACTACATAAACTTATCATCATCCTCAATTGATCTTGCTGGCCAGGTCCACAGAGCCTTGGTGTCACAGGCTCATGGTTGCAAGGATTTTGGTGCAAAATTTCTTGCGCTACGACCAGGACTTCAATGTGGGCAGAGTGAGTTGAGAAATACCGACCCCTAAGCACCTAGTAGTGGTGTAGTAAAGCATAGCTTCTAGGACGTGCTAGGCCTTACGCGGGTAGGCTTCAGAATTCAAGTTTCACTTCAGACTTTCGAATGTATTTGGCTCAAGACATGATCAGGAAAAAGGAAGGTCTATTGCACTTCTCTGCGGTAGGCCTCTGGGTTGGTTGTGTCTTGTTCTGTTTAACTGGTTATCAGCCGTAAGTAGTGAGACCTACCGCAGTGCCTTAAGTAAGCCCAGCGCCCAGTAGCCCAAAGGGGCAGCTAGGGCATAGGGGCTTGAGCGTCCGAGTGCGCCCGGAGAGAGGGGCAGCCTCGGTGCATGGCCGGACAGCCGCGTGGCGACAGAGGCGGTGAACGTAGAAGAAGGCAGGTGTTTTACACACACCAAGATTACGCTATAGACCAAGCCAATCGCCTTTTTGGGTTTACGTTGCCGCGTGAGGATTTTCGCGTGTTGGAGGGTGGCGGCCATCAGCGCCACTTGGACGGCATCCGCGACATCTACGACAGCTACGCTGCGGATTGGAACCGTCTCTGCCAGGTGCTCCCAGCCCTTGCGGCCGTTGTGCCGGTGCACAAGGCGCAGCCAAAGGCAAGGGCAAAGGCAAGGAGGCAAAAGGCAAGGGAAAGGGGCAGCAACAAGCGCCCGAGCAACCCGCCACTCCGAAAGTGGCAAACCCGTCTGCAAGACCTCAGCCAGCAGCCCCGGCCACAACTGCGTCTGGATCCAGGGACTCCGCAGGGACCCCGGCCCGTATCGAGGCGACCCCGCTCACTGGAGCCGAGGGAGCGGCATCTTCAACTGGAGTTGGGCCGGCGGTGGCCGCGCCCAAGGCTGAAGGGGCCGCGCCACCGGCGGCAGCAGCGAAAGCGGAAGGAGCGGCACCAGCGAAGAAGAAGCCGCTGAGCCGGTTACCGCGTCGGACGTGCTGCCGAAGGAGGAGCCACAGCTGGGAAGCGACGAAGAAGGGCCAGTCACCGACGCCCACGACCAAGGCGACCCAGGATCCGAGGAGCCTGTGGTTGCCGAGGTCGCGGGTGTTAAGGAAGAAGCGCCCGACGACACTGACGCAGGGGCCGCTGAGGACCTTGAAGTCAGTGGCGTCGCCCACGCTGAAGGAGAAGAGGAGGAGCCGGTGGTTGAGGAGTGTGAAGTCGACGAGCCTGTACATAGTTCGCCGCCAGCGCTAGTTGTACATAGCCCTGCTTCACCCAACCTTTCCGAACGTGCTTTCTCTGAGCCACCCGAGCGCCCAGTGCCTGAGGGGCGGCTGCGAGTAAGGCCTAGGATCTTAAAGCCACCGACTAACCTCCCTCCCGGTAGCTACCCAACGGTAAGAGTAGATCGCCAAGGCATCTGGATACTGGTAAGCCCCGCCCAAGCACCTGAAATAGGCACTAGGGACCCAGAGGTGGCCGCGCCCGAAGGTACAACCGCAGGGGCTGCAACCGAGGAGATCGATCCCTACGATCTTCCCCAGGCTGTCTGGGCTGACCTCGCCCTAGCTTATTCCAGAAGGCCTCCCTCTCTTGACCTTGCAGCAGCTCCCGTGGTGAGCGACCGCCAGGGCGAGAGGACAGAGGAAGGGTTTAGGCAAGGAGTGGGTGCTTTTAGGCCGGGTGAGGTTTTAGAAGCTAGGCCGTCCAGCCCGGCTCGGTCGGAGCCCGCGGCAGCCCGCAACAGGGGCAGCCCCGAGTGCGCCCAGCCGCGTTAGGACAGTGCCGGCGCCACGGCTGCTCCTCCTGCCGTGCCACCACCACCTGCAGTACCGTCGCCCCCGCCAGCTACGTCGCCGCCGCCAACGGAGGCGCCCACAGCTGATCCAAAGGGGCCGCCGGCAATTCCTTCGAAGGCCGCGCCGTCTCCACCGCTACAGTGGGCGATTGACGCAGCAAGGAGGCGAGAGGCAGAGGCAAAGGCACAGGCAGAGGCCAAGGCAACAACAGCAGGGGAGCCAGCGAGCGGCAGCACCGAACCGCGTTCGCACCCTGATCAGGGCGCCCACGCCATTGGGGCAGCCGATCGCTCGCGTAGTCCCACGGTAGTTAAGCCTAGGGTTAAAGCCCCGCCGCCACTACCCGAGACACCCAAGCAGTTGCCTTATAAAGCTGCCCCAACCGAAAGGCTCCAACAACGCCAGCAAAGGGAGCAGCAAGCCCAGGCCAGAGCCAGGCTAGAAGAAGCCGCCGCGCAGCGCAGAAGGGAAGAGGCTGCAGCAAAGGCACCAGTGGCACCTGCGCCCAGGCAAGTGGGGCTGCGCCCAACGATCTCGGTCGTCTGGGATTGGCATAAGGTGCTTGACCTCGGCTTGGACCGGGGCAACTGGAGCCCGCGGGTCGCGAGAGCCATCGGTGATCTGTGGTCCACCCACAGACCATTGGTGTTCCACGTGCTCTCCTTCACCGGACGCGGGCAGGCGGCAGCACACCGGTCTGAAGCCCTAGCGGCACTTCCCAGCCTTGAGCGGGAAGCCGGTGTCACCTTTTCGTCCTACAACCAGTGCTTTGAACGCACGGGGTCGGGCGGAAAGGCCGAGTTGTTGCACTCCTTGGGCCCGGTACAGGGGCAGCAGCCAGGCGCCCACTACCTTGTGGACGATAACCGCGACATCGTCAAGGAGTCGCGGCGAACGGGCTGCAAGTGCGTCCAGGTCGTGAAGCCGGCGGATCGGAGGTTCTTTGTTGAACAAGACCTCCTCGACGCGATCCAGCAGCTCAGCGAGTCGCTCCACTCCTTGGGAGAAGAGCGCACCGGAGCGACTGGAGCAACAAGGCTGGCACAAAGCCAGTACTTGGAGGTTCTCCACCGCTAAGGTTCTAAGGGGTGAGGGGCAGCTCTAAGCGCCCATAGGTTCTACGGTTTAGGCCCGAACCCGTGTGCACGGCATCCTGCCTCACCTCCCCCTTAAGTAACCGGTGGAACCCGCGTCGTCCCCGGCAAGCCGTCGCCCAACTCACCAACAAGGGGCAGACCGGCAGACCACAAAGCCGCCCGCAACCGGCCGTCGCCCAACTTTCCAAAAAGGGGCAGACTGGCACAGCCCGCAACAACAACCACAGCGACCACCCAACAGCCACAGGCCAAAGGCAGGGGGGCAGCACACAAGCGCCCGCAGGTCAAGGTCCACACCCGACCGCGTGCACGGCAACCGCCGCACCCCAGACCTTTAAGCCCTAAGGTTGTTAAGGTAGGTCCGCTCCCCGTAGGCACCGCAAGGTACCAAACCAGAAGGCCCAGGCACAGGTGCAAAGGGGGCAGCCAAGGCGCCCAGTGCAGTCCAGCCGCACCCTCGCACCCTTACGCCCTAAGGCCCGTAATCTTCTAGTTTTCTTTTGCAAGTGCCGCCGAAGCGCGTGCACCAGAGTTCTTTCGCACCGGAAGGGGGCAGCCAAAGGCGCCCGAACATAGAGCTAATAGCCTAAGCTAGGGTTATAACTCTTCGGTTGCATCCTTCCCGCGTGCTGTATCGTACCTATAATTTGCATTGCTTTGCGTATTTTGCGCCACATCGTTTCGCAGCCAGCCAAAAGAGAGAGTGAGCCGTGGAACATAAGGTTTAGGATGGCAGGCATAACCCCACCGTCCGATGATAGGTCTAGGTCAAGTAGGTTAGGGGACTCTTCCTTTTCGGAACCCGATCTCGCACCTCCACCTGACCTTCCCGTTGTTCCCGCAGCAGCAACCATAGTTCAGGGACAAAGGCCACCAGGTACCAGAGCCCCGCTGATCACCATTAGCGCCGGTAGGGGTAGGCGACAAGATTCATCATCCTCGCCCTCACCCCGTGGAACCCAGAGGCCTCCCGAACTTACTGCTACTCAGGCTACCTTTCTCGCGGGCGCCGTGGTCACGCACGCGCACCAGAGCGCGCAAGTTGCACTGCACGCCGCGAGCACCGCACAGGCCCAAGCTGCAAGCTCACAGGCTCAAGCCCAGCAGGTCGCACAACAGGCCGGCGAATGGGCTCAAGGTGTCAGACAGGAGGCTCAAAGCGTAGTGGACCACACCCGTACTCAGGCGCAGGCCGTGGTAACCCAAGCGAGGGTCGAGGCCCAAACCACTGTGGACCAAACCCGTGCTCAGGCACAGGCTGAGGTAACCCAGGTCAGGGCTGAGGCCGCACAGGCAGTTCTTCACACCCGCGCCGCGGCACAGGAAGAGGTCTTAGCAGCACAGCGCACCGCGTTGGAACGCATAGCCCTTCTAGAGCAGCAGCTCGCACAGTCGCAACGTGAAAGGGAGGAGAGCAACCGCAGCGTTGAGCAGCTGATCGCGGAACGCCGGCTCACAGATGACTATTGGGCCCGGCGAGAAGCTGAACTTAACACGCAGCTAGACGTAGTTGCTCCAGCGGTGACTCCGAAAGCAACCTCGCGAACGCATTGGTCCCCAATGTCTTTCTCACCTGACACAAGCCATAATGGCCCGGCTCTTACAACTCCAACGCCAGCCGCCCGCAAAAGGGGCGAGGAAGCAGTCTTGCAACCCAGTGTGCCAGCAGGGGGGCCCAAGCCCCCGACGCAGTCGCCCCAAGAGGGTGCTGCTCCTAGCGCACCGGAAGCCTCAGCGGCACAACCCGCCGAGCAGCCTGCAACCTCAAGCTCCGATGCTCCCTCTGCACAACCAGAGACGGCAGCTGTGCAACAGAGTCCCACGCGCAACCCTGAAGTTGAAGCGTTGAGCCTTCAGGTCGGCGAACTCCTTACAACAGTGCAAACCTTAGCGCAAGCCATGGCTGTTTTGCAGCAACCGTCTGTGTCTTCTAGTGTAACGCCACCTCCTCCCACAACGGAGGCGGCAGCACCAGCACCAGTACCGACACTGCACTTGCCAACACAGGCACCGCAACTGTTTGCACCAACTTCTCCTAGACCTGCCTCCGAAGCCAGTTCTCTGAAAGCTCGTCTTCCTCAGAGGGTTCCTCTAAGCAGCCTGCCGGGTTTGTGGCAGTAAGCTGCACCTAGAGGTAGACTGTCCGTGGCTTTCTTCCAACGGCGGGGGGGGGGATGGGGGTGGGGGTAGTCCTTCAGGTAGTGGTCCACCGTTGCCGCCACCAGCAGCGTCTCCAGGAAGGGGTGCTGCTTCCAGCGCACCGGGGGAGGTCCAGACACCTGCGGATTACGAAGAGACCGTGATCAGGGTCAAGAGTCTTTCCGACATGACCTTCCCACAGCCACCCACTAACGCGGGTCAAGCTAGGGGTTATGTTAATCAGGTTCTAGTTGCCATAGCTCGTGTTCAGCGAACCCCTGGTGATGAAGTTTACCAGTGGGCGCAGGAGTGCCTCACACACACAGAGGCTCAGCTTAAGCAAGACCCAAGGTTTCCCCGGCCTCACTCGCGAAGTGTCGGCAAAGTTGCTAAAGACCTGCCGCAACGGTCGCTTTGGTCTTCTCTTTCAGCAGATGACCGAGGCCGAGCGCATGGCATCCGGTGGCATGCCCAACGGAAGGGTCATGCTGCGGTCGATCTTTAAACACTTCCAGCTTGAGAGGGATAGGATAGGTATACTAGGTGAGAGGAATCTTTTGAGCATGAAGATGCAGGGCAACGACGCCGCTGCACTTGAAGCCTTTAGAGACCGATACCTGTACGTGCTTACTACAATCCCAATCGATGAGCTGCCTCGCCCGCAGACGATGTTCAATCATCTTCTCGATGAGCTCGAAAAGAACGGGATCATGAGACCGCGCTGCGAAAAGGCTCGTGAGGCAGCGTCTGGCAGTCACAGACGGACGTCGGAGTGGCTTTGGTCTAAGGTTGACCTCGCCCTGCAGCTTCACCAACAGAAGGTGCACCGTGAGGAGTTCGACAAGAACCTCCGTGCAAAGCCGCAGGTGCTCACTTCAACCGCCACTGCTGGCAAAGACCAGCCCAGTGTTCCTGCCACTCCTGCGCCCAACGCCGCTCCGAAAGGGGCTGCCGACAAGCCGCAGAAGGAGAAGAAGAAGAAAAAGAAGAAAGAGAAGAAAGAGAAGGACGACGAAGTCCCCGCAGCACCTGCGCCCAAAGGTAAAGGGAAAGGCGGTAAAGGAGACAAGTCTCCTAGAACACCGCGCCAGGGTGACAAGGGCGGAGGAAAAGGCGACACCACCCCGAGATCTGCAGAGGTCAAGCGGGTGAAGGACATGACAGCGGCAGAGAAAAAGAAGACTCCCTGCATGTTCTATGCCCACGGCATGTGTAAAGCCGATCCTTGCCCCTTCTTGCACGACGACAAGAAGAAGTACACCGGTCCCCCTCCGAGGGCCGCAGCAAAGCCCAAGGCAAAGGCGAAGGCTAACGCAGCAATCGCAGCAGTCATCCCGGCAATGCCTGCCAGCAACATAGCCAACACAGAGAACAATGTGACATGGCTGTGGGATACTGCCGCGGGTCGTCATCTCATCGGCCGCCAGGCTCTGAGCTCTGACATGCGCGCCTGCGTCCGCACAACAAGCACGCCCGTAGGTTTTGCAACAGGTGGTGGCGCCCAGCACTGCACCCAGTCTCTGTCGTTTGGGGGCAGCAAGCTAGTGCCGCAAGAGGAACAGGTCTACGTGCTGAAAGAGTGCCCTCCAGCACTTAGTGTAGGAAAGGCCGTCCAGGACCAAGGTTGTCTCTTTGTCTGGGACCCTAAGGAACCTGGCCCCTACTTCGTGCCTGCCTCAGAAGTCCACCGCTGCAAGCTTAGGGTTCCTAGGGGTGCTAGGCTTAATGCTTCCAGGGTCGTAGAATACGTGCCGCAATTCGATGAACGGTTGTCGCCTGTAGTTCACCAGTCCGTTGAGCAGCTAAGTCCCGTTGAGGCAGCTGCTTCGCCAAGCGCTGTTGAATCCGACGCCGTGTCCGTTGTTGACGAAGACATCGGAAGTGGCACTGGTGATCTCCCAGGGTACGCCCCCACAGAGGTTGCTACTAGCGACGAGGAGCTTGAAGCCGGTCACCTCGAGGAGGCGGACGACTTTGCCTCAAAGGTTGGAGCACAGCTTTTTAGGTCAAGCGCTGAAGGGAGCGCACCTTCCGGTGCCCGAGAGTCAGCTGCTGTAGAACCTCCTTCCCCCTCGTTCTCTGAACTGTTAGAGGAAGGGGCTGCAACCAGCGCCCTTGCACCCGAAAAGCCTGTGCCCAGTGCTGCAGTCGATCCGGAGGACGACAAACCTCTGATTGACTTAGTGGACCCGAAGTCTTTAAAACCGCACAAACGGGAGACCTTAATGGCTGAAGCTAAGTCCGCGAAGCACCTCCTTACACACTTCCCTAAGAACCCCTTTTGCCGAATATGTAGCCTTGCCAAGACTACATCGATGAAAGTTGCCAAAAAGCCAGACACCAAGTCCGATGATCTCATCGATGTGCCCACCGCGCCGTGGCAGCAAATCGCAACAGATGATGTCATCATGGCCCGAGGTGACGACCACCGTGGCGTAGGGACAGGGGGAGTGAAGTCACACCACGTTGTAAGGGATGTGTTTTCAGGGGCTAGGGTTGCTTACCCACTGTCTCGCAGGACGCTTCAGAACCACGCCAAGAACTTCAGGCACTTCTTCGGTTTGCGCCCAACCTCAAAGCCGCCGGTCTGTCTAGTTAAGATGGATGAAGCAGGCGAGCTTGAAGGGGCAGCGTCGGAGGTCGGTCTCATTCCAGAGACATCCCTCCCGAACCGATGGCCTCATAACTCGGTGCTTGAGCGCGACGTAAGGGAAGAGAAAGAGTGCTGTAGGAGCATCCACCTTCAGTCGGGATTGCCCTACGACTTCCACACCTACTCTTACCCTTACGCTTGCCTCTCGCTTTCTTTCGACCGAGTGAGCCACAGTGACAAGTCTAAGTCACAGTGGGAGGTTCTCACAAAGGCTCCCTTCGAGAGTATCCGCGCGTGTTTTGGACAGCTTGTCTATTACCGCAAGAAGGGTCCCTCGACAAGGGCTCTGGATCCGAACCTTCAGCCTGGTTTGTTTTTAGGATGGCGCCTAGACTCAGGTTTAAGGTATAGGTTCGTGACCAAGGTCCTCGATTACATAGAGTTCCGTTCCAAGCGCAACACCTTGGTTGTTGACGTCCCACAAGACGAGCTCTTTATCGAGGAGGGCCCTCCAGTCTTTCCTGTGGCCAATGCTAATCGCCGCGCCCTGGTTGAAGGGGCTGCAGAGGGCGTGCTCCCAGACATTCCGCTTAAGGAAGTGCCGTTCCCGCCAGAGGGCAGTGACGTTAGGCCTCCCCTTAGGGACCCTAAGGTGAAGAGTGTTTACATCACTGTAGAGCGCATCATTAAGTTTAAGGAAACCCCTGGGTGTAAGGCTTGCTACGGGAAGGCTACGGTACACACGCCAGAGTGCCGCAAGCGTTTCACGGAACTTGTTGAGAAAGAGCGCAGGGAGAAGGAAGAGCGCCGCTCTCTACCTCCCACTCCAGGCAGACCAGTGCCACCAACTCCCGCAGAAACTGTGCCGCCGACACCCGCTGCAGAAAGCGTGGCTCCGCCCACTCCTGCTCCCGTGCCGGAAGCGCCCGTCAGGGGGGACGCTGGGGTTTCGTCAGTTGCCGGTGCTGCTGTTCCTTCAGCGACAGCAACCAGCACAAAGCTCGCCGAAGCAACAGGTGACCAGCCTCCAGTGTTTGGTGTTCCTGCTGGTGTGTCTGCAAAGCAAGCTCCTCAGCAAAAGCCAGTTTTCCATAAAGGAACCAACCGAAGGGCACGAAGAGCAAAGGCAAAAGGAAAAGGCTTTACCACCGTTTTCGAGTACGACTGCTCTACCACTTCAGCCTTTGGCAAGTCCCACTTTGAGCTCGGTGTTCCACACCTGCGCCTCTCGAGACAGTACTTTGATCTCGAGGACAGCTGCGTTCAAGCCCAAGTTGCCGAACAACTTGACGCAGTGCCAAGCGCGCACCTCTGGGGAGCGCTCCCTAACCTAACTGGGTTTAGGAAGAGGGACGGCGAGGCCGCAAAAGGGAGGTGGTTAGCTCAGCTTGTGAACTTTAGGTACAGGTTCTTAGCCTTTGCTTCTCACGCACGCCACGCGTTGGAGAAGGGCCACGGGTGTACGCTTGTGTGGCCTACCAACTCAGAGTGTTGGCGTCGCCCTGCAGTGAAAGAGTTTCTTTCCGAGCACAAAGACGTGTTGCACAAGGTTGAGGTTAAAGGTTGTGACTTTGGTTGGTGGGGTAAGGACGAGAAACCGCTTCATGCCTCATTCAGGTTTTACACCACCTCAACCCGCTTAGTTGAAGTGCTTGGGAGGTTTCAGAAAGAGCATCAAGTTGAGGAGTGCTCTAAGGACAAGGGTGTTACACAGCATGCGCCCAAGTCTTCAAAGAAGTAGGGGCTGCAGTCTGCTCATGGCGCCCAGTCCTCTGTGACAAAGGGGTAGCTTGGTTGCGCCAACCGGTTCCTAATAGATTGGTATGGTTCCAGAAACGCATCCCAAAGATGCGTCTGTTATCATTTGATTCTAAATCGCCAGTCCGAGCGAGTAAGGGGGGCAGCCTTTTTAGCGCCCGCAAGCACCAGTGCGCGAGCGTCCGTGCCGCAGCCCCCGCTCGCACGCCCTAACTCCCGGCATGAAGCCATTTTGGCGTCGGTCGAGAGGGCCCAGCCTTCCGCACTACCATGTGCACGGCGAGGGGGGAGTTGAGAAATACCGACCCCGAAGCACCTAGTAGTGGTGTAGTAAAGCATAGCTTCTAGGACGTGCTAGGCCTTACGCGGGTAGGCTTCAGAATTCAAGTTTCACTTCAGACTTTCGAATGTATTTGGCTCAAGACATGATCAGGAAAAAGGAAGGTCTATTGCACTTCTCTGCGGTAGGCCTCTGGGTTGGTTGTGTCTTGTTCTGTTTAACTGAGTGGCCATGAAATGGCATGGGCTGATTGGATTGGCTTATCCCGCATTGAAGAACCGAACCATCGAGTGTCAGCTGATGTGCATCATTAGCCGTAGCTATGACAACAGAGCCAAGATTGAAGCAGCTTCAATCGATGTGGGACCCCATCAATGTGCGGGGTTGCTGCAATACATTGAATACTATGCAGGGAGCGCCAAACTTTCGAAGAAATTGATCGAATCCGGTCTCCGTGGGTGCAGCTTTGACATACTCTACAATGACGAACACAACATGTTGCTAGCGAAAGGGTTGCGTTTGTTTCTGGATGCAGCCACAGCGTGTGAGAAGAAGGCTTTGCATTGGTGGGGCACTCCGTGCTCTTCTTTTGTCATTATGTGCTCATTTCGTTCCCAACGTGCTGAAAGCAACGGCTGGGAAGGCGCATGGACTGAGCGGGACTTTGTATTGCAGGGAAATTGTCAGGCCCTTGTTTGCTCACTTGGGATTTTCCTGGGATGGGCATGTGAGTGCTGCCCTGTGGTGGAACAGCCCCTCAGCTCCTGTATGCCGCACCTCGAGTGTGTCAAAACAGTTCTATCCTTTTGTGGCTTCGAAAAGACTTGCACCTACATGGGTGCCTTTAACGGAAAGTCAGTGAAGCCCTTGCAACTGTGGCATTTGCCTGGGTTTCATTTTGAGAACCTGGCCAGGCCCAAACCAGATCATAATGCTTTCATTGGTCTGGTAAACCGAGGCGAAGACGGCCGTTTCACCGGTGTGCCAGCAGATGTACAGGCTAGTGGGGAATACACTTCGATGTTCGGGGAAGCAGTTGCGCAGATTGTCCGGAATCTATTGTGACGATCCGCTTCGTCAGCCAAAATACGTTTCATAGCTTACTGAGCTGCATGCTTTTTATTATTCAAGCCAATCTGCTGTGACTGGTTTTTGGGGTGTGAATGCTGTGACACAACAGCAACAGCAGGCCATGCAGCAACACAGGTAAAACAGTGCGATGACTGATGAGAAGGTTGCATAACAATTGAGACACAAGTCTGATTTGCTTGCAGCCTTATGTCGATGTGGCTGTCTCAGTGAACACACTTTGAGGAACAGAATTGATATGGCTCTTTCAGTGAACACACTTGAGGAGGATTCCTCAAGATTTCCTCAATTCGAATCGTCAACCTTGCCAAGCAATGCCATGCTGACTCAAGATTTCCTCAACCTTGCAGCAACCTGTTTAAGTTGACAGGTTGTTCTGAGCAGTGTGAGGAAACAATAGATGCCATCCACTGTGACCTTGCCCGATGTGCCCATGTCGGTGCAAGGGGTCAGTGGCATGGCACAAGTGAACACACTTGAGGAACAATTTCTTGTTGACAATTTGGGAGTCACACCTTTGCAGCTTCTGCCGGCTCTTGCACAGACGTCCTCAGCCTTGCGAAAACCTGTTGGTGTTGCCGGGCTCTCGCCCGAAGAGCCATCAAGTTTCCTTGCTTGGGGACACAAAGGCCAGCCATCTAGTGTGACCTTGCCCGACGTGCCAATGTCGGTGCAAGGGGTCACTGGAATGGCACAGCTTCCGGTTGCTCTGTTCACACACCGGCTTGGACAGAAATAATACTACATTTTTTCATGGTTTTCTCAACAATTTTCAGTGTCTGCAAATCTCCAGTTACATTAATTCTGGACAAACCTACCGTGTCGTAACGTATCCAATAAGTCTTTGTTCAGGTTGACTTCTGATTTTGATAACTTTGGTTTTGCCAAGCCCACTGATCCAGCCCCCGCGGATCCAACCCTACAAACGAGCATATGGATAGATGACAGACATAGAAACGAGTACATAGATGACATGCAATCGAGTGAAGTACATAGAGTCGAGTACATAGATGACTTACCAGGACTCTGACTCTATGACACTATGACACTTGACTCTAGGACTCTGTGACTGACTCTATGACACTATGCCTTAGTGACTCTACGACTCTATATACTTGACTCTATGACACTGTGACTCTATGACTCTATGGCACTAAGACTCTGTGACTAACTCTATGACACTATGAGTCTATGACTTTATCCTCTACATCTCGGTATATAACCTCTCTTCTAAAGCAGGGTGGCACCGTCGTCATCGATCGGGAATGCAACCCTTCTCAGGGATTGGCCTGGTCGAGCGCCCAAGCGCTAGGTAAAGTTACACATTTTAGGGTTTCCGTGCAACCCTTCACAGGGACTGGCTTGGTCGAGCGCCCAAACGCTAGGTAAAGTTAAACATTTTCAACCCTTCACAGGGATTGGCTTGGTCGAGCGCCCAAACGCTAGGTAAAGTTACACATTTCAGGCGTGCGCCGCAACCCTTCACAGGGATTGGCCTGGTCGAGCGCCCAAACGCTAGATAAAGTGAAAAACATTAACTTAAAAGAGTTCCCGTGCAACCCTTCACAGGGATTGGCTTGGTCGAGGGCCCAAACGCTAGGTAAAGTTACATATTTTAGGCGCGCGCGAGCGCCGCAACCCTTCACAGGGATTGGCCTGGTCGAGCGCCCAAACGCCAGGTAAAGTTACACATTTTAGGCGTGCGCCGCAACCTTTCACAAGGATTGGCCTGGTCGAGTGCCCAAACGCTAGGTAAAGTTGCACATTTTGCGGTCGACGCGCAACCCTTCACAGGGATTGGCCTGGTCGAGCGCCCAAACGCTAGATAAAGTTACACATTTTGCGGTCGACGCGCAACCCTCTGCGTGGATTGGCCTGGTCGAGCGCCCAAACGCTAGGTAAAGTTACGCATTTTAGATGCGCGTCGAGGCGCAATTTGCAACCTTTCGAAACAGGGATTGGCATGGTCGAGTGCACGAACTTGCAACCCTTCACAGGGCTTGGTGTGATCGAGTGCGCGAACGCGAGGTAAAGTTGCTACTTTGAAGCGCTTTTAGGTGCATTGAGGTGCAATTTGCAACCTTTCACAGGGATTGGCACTTTGCAACCTTCACAGGGATTGGCATGGTCGAATGCACGAACGCGCCTTCACAGGGATTGGCGTGGTCGAACGCACGAACGCGAGGTAAAGTTATTACTTTTGATGTGCATTGAGGCGAAATTTGCAACCTTTCACAGAGATTGGCGTGGTCGAGTGTTCGAACGCGAGGTAAAGTAAACACTTTTGCTGCGCATGAAGGTGTAATAGTAATAGTAGTAAAAGTAGTAATAATAATAGTAACAGTAGTAATAGTAGTAATAGTAGTAATAGTAGTAATAGTAGTATTCGTTTCGTAGTAATGGCCATAAGAGTAAGAGTAAGAGTAAGAGTAAGAGTAAAAGTAAGAGTAAGAGTAATGGTAATAGTATTGGTAATCGTAATGGTAATGGTAATAGTAATAGTAATAGTAATAGCAGTAGCAGTAGCAATAGCAATAGCAATAGCAACAGCAACAGCAACAGCAACAGCAAGAGCAAGAGCAATAGCAATAGCAATAGTAAGAGTAAGAGTAAGAGTAAGAGTAAGAGTAAGAGTCAGAGTCAGAGTCAGAGTCAGAGCAAGAGCAAGAGCAAGAGCAAGAGGAAGAGGAAGAGGAAGAGGAAGAGTAAGAGTAAGAGTAAGAGTAAGCGTAAGCGTAAGCGTAAGCGTAAGCGTAAGCGTAAGCGTAAGAGTAAGAGTAAGAGTAAGTGAAAGTCAGGTTTTACAGGTCAGGTTTTACAGCCGTTGACGTCACGACATCGAAGGACTGTCCATGGCAACCCCAACTTCGCAATGCTATCGAATTGTCCGACCCAGCAACAAAGTCGCAAGCTGTATATCACAAACGCTTTGCATGAGATCAGAGAGTGTACAAGTATTGATCTATCATGCTAAGCTTCTACAGCGCATGCCTGCTTGAATGGCTTTGGCCTATTGCTGGCTTCTGCCGATCATGGAATGCAGGACTTCTTTACATGACTCAAGGGCTTTCCCCGTAGCCTTCCCTACAGGGCCAGAGCATTTCCGGAGCATGGCACTTTACAAGCCCCCTTTCAGACAACTGCGCATGCCGACGTGTTTCATCACTCCTCCTTGGCCTAGCCGTCAGGTTTCGGCCACCCGAGAGCTTTGTCCAGACGTCATGAGGGTAGTGTCGAATACCCGCTCGTACTCGCGGGCCCTCTCAAGGTCCCGCCCATACTCCGGCGTTTTGTCCGGATCTTCAGCGGCACGATTGCTGCAGTATCGGCAAAGCCTTCTTCGCTCGACTTTCTGCAGGGTACCCCTGTATTTAAAAGCATGGCAGTCATCGTAAACATGGAAGCAATCGTTGTCTGGCACCACATAGGTAGCTTCCGGTGGCTCATGCACATATCTCAAGATAATCCTCGTAGACGGACCGTGCACAGGGGTGAAGGCCGTGGTCTGGATTGAGGCCTCCTTGGTCTCCTTTATTCCCTGCGCTAGTCGCCGAAGTAGATTTATGCGCTCTTCAGCATGAGGATCTCGAGGCTCCCGCGGTCGATCAGGCAGTTGGTCCCTGGGCCTCTCGCGAGAATCTCTAGCTCTCTGCTCTGCTCGAGAACCGACCCGGGCACTCACTTCACGGTGGATAGCCTCTGCCGTTGCATCTCGCAACCTCTGAAGCCTTCTCAAACGCCGCTGGGTGGAGCCCGGCGCCGCCCTATCATAGATCATCCACGCGACCCACTTCAGAGCTTCCCAGGATAAAACACCAACCAGCACAACGCACCAGAACAGAAGCCAAGTCAACAGCCCATAGTCTACAGACACTCCACTTCCATAAACCACGACACCATGTTCTTCATGAACTCGTTCTCCAGATACCGCTTGCGCCAGTACCAACAAGGCAATTAAAACCTTAGGGATCGGGCTTAGGGTGTGTGCTGCTTGGCTGCCGCTGCTACTGCTTCTGCTTTCTGGCTCCTCCTTAAGTGAAGACACCGTGCACAACGACTCCATTTCATCCAGCAGTCCCACCAAGCAGCTCAACGACTTGATTCGTGCCGAAGATAAAGGCTTGGTTAGCATATCAGCAGGCTGAACTTCACCATGACAATGGTTAAACTCAACGATATTCCTAGCGATGAGCTCGCTGATCCAGGCGCTTTTCAAACGGAGATGTCTGGTACGCCAACTGCAGGACCCATGCGCGATCGCCAATGCCGCAGTACTGTCCGAATGCATCTGCATAGCAAACACTCCAGCACCAATGCCAATGTCCTGCAAAACCGCCTGGATGCCCTGGATCGCAACTAAACCTTCAACCGCTGCTTCAAGCTCTGCTTCTGCCGTACTCAAGCTAATGCACGACTGCCTCGAAGAACGCCATGCGATCACATTTCCGGCCAGCTGGATTATCCATCCCGTGTGGGACCTGTTCGCGTCAGGAGCAAACGACGCGTCCACAAAGCCACCCAAATAGCGAGAGTTGCCCTCAAACAGCAGTCGCCTCTCGGACGTTCTCTGAAGATAGGCCAACGTTTTCAACCCAATCTCCAGCGCCCTCCGCGGGGCCCTTGTAGCAAGCGACCCGATCAACGAGCATACAAACGCCACATCAGGGCGTGTTCTCTTGATCCAGAGGAGTTCGCCCGCAATTTGCTGAGCCGCCCGAACTTCTGCTTCATCTTGCGGGGCTTCATCCTCACCGGCAACAAAGCTCCCCGACTCCTTGCCCACAGGGACTCGGTCGCGCTTCCTCGTAGGGATCTCGTGCAGCCGCAACAGCTCTTCCAAGTAGGACTTCTGAGATAAAGCAAAGCCCTGAGTTGTTCTTGAGATCTCAATCCCCAAGAACCTTATCTCGCCCTCTGTCACAAGCTGCAACGGACTTGTCCTCCACATAAACTGAATCGCTGCCGCCAGCTCCTTGATGACCTCAGTCCTGGCGCACAACAGCAAATCATCAACGTAGACTACCAGGATCCCAATCAGCACCGAGCCCTCTTGCATGATTGACCACCACGATGGCTCCACACGTCCTTGCAAGGGGGTTATCCTTTTTCCATCCACAACCAACTGCACTTGCGCCAACCTCATGTCCCTGCACGAGCCCCATAGCTTTGGGCTTTCTTGAAGGCCATAGACTGCGAGTGTTAATTTCCACAACTCCCCGGGACGACAAAGGCCGGCACGAACAAGTACTTTAGGTGGAACACCATAAACCAACGGTGCCCCATCCAGTGCACTGAACGGAGTTTGAAGGAACGCCGCCACAATGTCAATCAGCCCCAAGTTCCAGTCGAAGAACCTCGCTAAGGCTATGGCCGCCCTCACGATCTCCGCTGGTGCCGTGCTGGCGTAGACCTCGCCCGCTTGGTGCGATGCCATGTTTCCGCAGATCACTATCCTTGACTTCCGTTTGAAGTTTTCAGCTAGAGGCTCACCATCAGCAGGAGGATCTGGGGGCTTCACGGTGTAGACAACCTTCATGGGGATAAGCTTTCCTCTACCCGAGGCCATGTCTTCACGAACCCTCGGGTCATCTGACATCACCTTGTCGACGGCATGCTCAAGCGAAGCCACCTCCTTCTTCAACGAAGGCGTCCGCCGCTCAAACACTGGAACAACTTCCCTCGGGTTCACCGTGTAGACTACCGACAAGGGCGAAGTGAGTTTTTCAAGGATGCTCTCAACCCCATCCGTATAAGAAGCTTCAGTCTTCCGCAACAAAGGGCTGGATGAAGCTGATGGCCGCACCACTGCAGTAGACGCTTCTTCATGATCTTCGCTCAAAATCAACTGCATTTCACAATCATTCCAGCACTCAGTAGGGACATCGACTGAACCTTCTCCACGCGAGAACACCATATCACAAGGCGAGGTCGTAGAACCACTGGATCTTCTGGTAATCGCCCAGTCACACTTGAAGAGGTACTCTCCATCAGAAGTCTCAATCACCTCTTGCCATCCCCCTCCTCTAAGCGGAACAACCTCCTCCTCAACTCGCTTAGTTTGCTTCGCCGAAGACACCGACAACGCATTGATGTACACCTCCGGCACTGCATCGCCTTCGTCCAACGGGAGTGGAAAACCCCAATCCCATAGCATTTCCTTGTCCAGGCGAGGAAGAGATCCAAGGAGCCCTGGTGTATACCCCACAACTGCAATCCTCCCACCCTTCCACGGAAGAACTGCATGTCGTCGGTGCGGGTCAAAAGTGAACACACTGCCTTCTTGAAGCGGAAAAGCACACCCATATCTGGCTCTCCCCTCTGCAGAGATCAGCTCACCTTTCCCGAAACCACATCACCATTGCGCAACTCCATCCGCAGCTCACCGCCTCTTGTTGGCATGCTCAAAGGAAGGACATGGTTCACCGCCCCCATTGCATTGTTCTTGTCGACGTGCACCTCGCGCTCATTGTTCATCGAAACGTACACAGCCGCAAACTCTGCATCAGGAGACCGAACCCTGAACAGCTTGGCCAATAGCTTGGCTAACCACGGCCTCTCTACTGCTGCTCTGGTAACTCCCAGCCGTCCTCCGTGACGAAACATCCCATAGATCTTCTCGTCCTCGGGCAACAACCGAGCCACTTCCTTTCCGCCTCCTCCTGAGACCAGTCCTGGAATAAGGCTCCAGCCCTCTGCTTGAGGACCGATTCATCAATTACCTCCGCCTTGGCCACACCAACAACATCTCCAGATCCCGCTGACTTCCCTCGGACCCGACGCTCCGGCGGATCGGGGAATTCTGAATGGAACTCACCATCAACTGGTCCTGGATCGTGTAATCCAGCACGGACATGAAGGGTGTGGATAAACCGCTCGCCATCATCGTCCTTGACATACACCAAGTGGCCCTTGCTCAAGCTGTCTGACAATCGAACATAGACTCCCGACAGCCATCTCGGCGCTAAGTCATCAAGCTTTGGACCATCCAAATGTCGTTTCCTGACCATCACCTTCGCACCGTACGGGGCCGCGAGATTCGGCTCAAATCCCAACACATCACCACGCTGCATTGAAGCCGCCGTACTCATAGCCGATGCCCACAACTGTTGTGGCAAGCCCGCAGACAACAGCAAAGTCCTTGCGCGCTGCTTCAACCACCTGATGGTTGACTCTGCGGTGCCATTGGTTTGGTGAACTCCGGCCTCAGAAGTGGTCACCCGGATGCCCTCACTCTTTAGCCACTGACGGGTTGCTCTAGCTCGGAATTCCATGCCCCGATCGGTATGAAAACGGAGCACCGGAATGTTCAGTGCCTGGCAGTAGAGCACAACGTCCTGGATCGCCTCGAGAACCGTCGCCGACTTATCTTGCCGACCCACAGATAGGGTGGAAACAGGTTTTGGGTGGAGGTGTGGTGTGTGCACGTGTTTTCGGAAGTAAAAAAGATTTCGGTGATGCGACGAAGGAAAAAAACGGGCAAGGGTAAAAAAAAAAAAGGTACCCGTTGATGTTTGTCAGGTGTGTTACAAATCTGATTGATGTGGCAAGCACCCTTTTTTGATGATTTCAGTATTGAAGAATCTCATCCAGCAGCCAGCATCCAATACAATGTTTGAAGGGTGGTAAATCCACCTTTTAAGGACTCCTTTGTTGAAACATGACATCAAAAATCAACACCATATTCACAAGGCGTATGGTTCGAGTTAAGGTTTAGCATCTTCTTTTTCTTTCTTGCAAAACATAGCAGCAAGTCCTCATTACAAAGCTTCTGTAAAGCGCAATAATAATGAGATTTCCGTTAGTATGGCAACCCGTAAAACAAGCTAAGTTTTGTTACAGGTTGGGGGTTCGAGCTCCGAGCATTGACTTCTAAGTTTTAGATATATAACATTTTGAACACTAAAACCCATAATAACTCTAAACCCTGATCCCTTGAACCCTAAACCCTTACAAACCCTACCCAAAACGTTTAAAAGCTTGTGTAGCGGATTGGTTTGGTATGTCTTCTTCATATTTGATAAATGATAGCAACAAGTCTTCTATGTATGAAAGTAGGTATCCAAATTTCCGTTGTTGGCCCATCTGGCTTTTCAGCTTTAGATCCCTTAACCCCCACACACCCCCAGCCTAAAAACACTGAGCTGCGAGCGCCTTGTCAGACCTGCAGCGACGGGGGTGCTTTGTCTAAACACCGACGGCTTCCACAAGGTCACTGGGGGTTGGTTGGGGGTGGTTCAGGGCGGAGCACTGGGAGAGTGCCCTTCATAAACCCTAAACCCTGAACCCACAGTGGCGCTGAGAGAGTGCCGGCTGGGACAGCGCTGCGAGAGTGCTCTCCCAGCTTCACAGCCGAAGGCACTGTGAGAGTGCTTTTGAACCCTCAGCAGACGAGTGCACTGAGAGAGTGCTGAAAGCCGATGGCAGCAAGAGGGCGGCTTAAGGAATTCCTGGTGATGGTTTGTTTTTTAGATGGGCTGGGGGTTTGGACCAGGTCCAGCGCTGTCGGATTATTCTGCAACAAGCCAGAGCCCTAGCCATCAAGTAACAGCGGTCTGCCAATGCTTTTGATTATAGTCGGCAGTCTCCCAATGCTTGAGCTTCCGCTTGGACATGCTTACGCACTCTCCCAGTGCACTGTTTTAATTGAATTGCGTCTATCTATCGAAGCCTTTCGCCTGAAACATAAACTTCTATTCTGTTTTGGCCCTTGCCTTGCCCGAACTCCATCAGCCAGTCGTCGGTCCTCACCTCTGAGTCTGTAGGCGCCTGCGATCGGATGAGGGGTGGCCAGGTGGCATGTCCAGGATGAAAATTACATCGTCTGTGCTAAGCTGTACTAGCTGTACTGTCGGCAACCTGTCAGAAACCATTCCCCACGAAATCAAGACAACTCAGGCCGAGCAAGCCTGTAGGAAGGTGCTAGCTGCTATCGCAACATGCCGGCCGACTCGCTGTGTGTCAAGGCGTGTTCTTCGCAGGGAAACTTCTCAGCAAGGTTCAACAGCTACAAGCAACATTCGTATCCGTCCCCCCTCGCCTCGTGCTGCAATTTCTGGCCTCCCTTCGTTCACCTCGCGCCGAGTTCCACCTGCCACTCCACATCTTTGCTCCTCCTCCTCCTCCTCCTCCTCCTCCTCCTCCTCGCCTCCCTCTCCCCCTGACCCTCCCCTCTGTCGAAAGCAAGCTTGTGTGTGAAGTGTTGTGCACTCTCCCAGTGCACCGTGTCAACTGTCTGTCTTCTCTGGCAACTGAGTAGCTCGAAATTCGAAATATGTCAAGTGAACTTCTGCTCGGGTCCTTGTCCGACCTCCACCAGCTAGTCGACGGTCTGCTGTCTCATCTGTAGCCACCTGCGACCGGACGAGGGCTTCAGTCAAGGGGATATCGAGGATGAAGGTTGCAGCACGCTTGCGCAAGCACTCAAAGTCGAAGTCAAAGCTCTGCACTCTCCCAGTGCCGCTATCAATGACGTCTTTTTGGCCACTTTCGCAGGGAGGTCCTTCGTCCTCATCGTTGCCAAATGACTTCAGGGCCCTCCTGCAGCGATTGAATCTGAGGGTCCCTATCGTAACGGTAGCTCGCATGCTCTGTATGATATGGACACATCACTTGGAAGAGTGCAGGTTCGTGCAAGCGGACCTCAGTCAGACTCAGCCACCTCTGTCGGCGTCGGTGTGGGGCTTCGTAGCTGCGGTTTCCGTCCCCGTGCCTGTGAGCAAATCCGGGCGTCTCTGCGCATCGAAAATTCACTTATGTCTTGAGGCCTTCTCTGGCCAGTGCTCGTCGTACTGGCTGACGAGCTCCACGTATCTTGCCTGGACGGACACATTAATGTCTTGATGCTCCACAAATACTCTCGCGTGATCTCGTTGCCTTGTCTTTCTCGATCCGCCGCAACTTCACTGCCAGAAAGTCCTGGCACGAACATTTGTCAGGAGGCTGCTATCTTAAACCGACAGAAGTGCCAGCGGCCTCTTGGTCTTTGGACGCCGCAATGGCCTTTCTTGCAACCTCCTGGCACAACATGTTGTCACGGAACTGTAGAACGTCTATAATCTAGATCTTATGTTCCAATTCGACGCATATTGGCCGGCCGGCCTGGTACTTCTTGAAGTCAGCGTGCAAGCTGGCGAGCCGATCATTCTGCTCGGCTTCCTGTGCGTCGAGCTTTGCCTGCATGTCGTTCAACTCCCGGTCTTTCGAGCCAATCTCCAAGGTGCTCCGACTCCTCTGCTTCTTTAGCTCCTGCTGGAGTTCTGACAACTTGCCCTCGGCTTGCATGCGGCTTCGCATGGATTCCACAGACTCTCCTTTTAGCTCATCGATTTGTCCACTCATCTCCTGGATCGTGTCTGCCATTTCGAACATGGTGTTCTTCAAGGAATCTGCTCGCTCGGTCAGCTTCTGCGTTTTGTCCTCCTCGCACCAGAGGCATCCTCTCAGGTTGTCGATAACATCTTCTTGCTTCTGGATGGTATACCGGGCCTTCTCGAGCTCATCCTTGTCGTCTCGCCACCGCTTGATTTCCCGGTTCCGGGCGTTCAGATTCTCCAGGCTGCCGTGTCCTCTGCTGGCCTGCGTCTTCTTGCTACCCTGGCCACTGCCTTGAGAGAGGAGGCTGAGGCGCCGGTGTGGCGCCAGTCCTGAGACTCCTGCTGCTCATCCTGCCACTGGCAGGACCCGGAGTCTTTCCAAGACTTCGAAGAGTCCTTCATCCACGTCTCGTCGTCCCACCAGGAGTTGTCCTGCCAGGAGTCGTCGTCCTTCCAGGGGTTGTCCTGCCAGGAGTCGTCCTGCCAGGAGTCGTCCTGCCAGGAGTCGTCCTGCCAGCAGTTCGTCTCCTGCCAGGGGTTCGTCTCCTGCCAGGGGTCCTCCTCCTGCCAGCCTTGCTTCTCCCACGACATTGCTGCACTTTTAAGTCAGCAGCTGCGATGCTCCATCCACAAACGAACTTATTCTACGTAGATGGAAATCTGTGCAGATAGCTACCGAACGATGGAGACAGACAGAAGATCCTGTTCTGATGTCAGATTCTTGACATCTGTAAACTGCTCCAGCGAAAAAGAACGTCTACACTGGAATCCTGCTGCTGCGTGTTGACACAAGCAATCACATTCAAGTATATCCTGCATTGATGCTTCACACATGTTTGTGAAGTGGCTCAGTTCCTTCCATGTAAAGTATTATATTCAGCCGTGACTGTGGCTGTGCTCCGCCTGCCGTAACCAGCGCCCGTGCTGAGGCCAAGCAAGTCTGGCCTTGGTTGGACATGCCAGTGGTTGGGGTTGGGGATGGACTGGGACAGGCTCTGCAACAAAGAACAAGCCTTGGAAATCTGCTGCGTGGCTCGCGGTGCTCATGATGCCAAAGCATACTCTCCCAAAGCTCTTGCATTGACATCCGGGCTCACTGCCGGTGCCACCCAAATCGTGCTGGTGACACACCTTAAACGCAAAAGCCCCCCGCCCCCAGAAGGCTTTGTTGACAGACTCTGAGACGAATTCCGAGGTCTTTTGCAAAGTGCTCGCCAAGAATCATTGACCTGAACAATCCGAAGGACCGACACAGGAGCCAGCTCAAGAGTCGCCAAGAATCATTGACTTGGCCATTCAATAGCTCCCAAAAGCCCCAAAGCCCCCCCCAAAGCCCTCCCAAGAGCCCCCAAAAACCAAAAGTAGCCCCAAAGCCCTCCCAAGAGACCCCAGCAGCCCCAAACCGCGCAAAAGCCCCCCCCAACAAGAGCCCCCAAAAACCAAAAGTAGCCCCAAAGCCCTCCCAAGAGACCCCAGCAGCCCCAAACCGCGCAAAAGCCACCCGAGAAGCCCTTTTTTGACAGACGCCCCCTGCAAAGTTCAGAAAAGCTGCGCCGTCCCCGACCCCTCTGTCACCCGATTCTACTAAACCCAACGCAACAGCTTTGAATCGGATTCTGAGGTCTTTTGCAAAGTGCTCGCCAAGAATCATTGACCTGAACAATCCGAAGGAGCAAGAGCCCCCAAATGCAGCCCCAAAGCCCTCCCAAGAGCCCCACCAAGGCCCTTTTTGACAGACGCCCCCTTCGGTCAAAAGGCATCCTCGGGTTCAAAAGCCCCTCGTAGATCAAAAGCCTCACACCTTTTGCGGTGACAGGCCGGTCAAAAAGGCCTCCTCGGGTTCAAAAGCCCCTCGTAGATCAAAAGCCTCACACCTTTTGCGGTGACAGGCGCCACAATCCTCTGAGGTATCGGCATCTCTTTGGAGTCTCTCTGTTCAGGCCTTTACTTGTCATGAGCCTGTGGAGGATTCTGTAGCGACCTGTTGACAAGGATGCCTTGCCACGAGTTGAAAATGGATTGGGAACACTAGCATAGGCTACGGCGTCGTCCATTTCCTCCTCTCCCAAGTGGAAGTAGTGCTTCTCGAACGTCTTGCGGTCTTGTCTGTTTTGGATCTCGAGGATGCATTCGACACTGGGTCTTTGCTGAGTTGAAGCAGTTGACGAAGGCTTCTCTAGAAACAAGGCTGCCGAAGAGTGCCTTGTAGCCCCGTGTAAAGTAACGTGGCTAAATTGAGCAGTAGGCTGGTACCGCTTCTTGGCCGTGAGTGCAAACATAATTTCGCGGGTTCTTTTGATAGCATTCCAGGCTGACTGTCTTGTCAAGCAGGCTGTACTACGTGAGCTTCTTGTGGTTTTCAACGATGGAAAAAGCAATCCATCAGACTCCTTTGGCCAGTCGTACCTGCCTGGGGCCGGGCAGGACTTCTTCTGAAGGTTCAGATCAATGATTTTTTGCGAGTACTTTGCCACGGCCTCAGTCTGGACTCGTTCCAAGCCGTTCCTTCGTATCGAATCAATGGTGGCCACAGCCTCTTGTGATATCCTTGCAGCTACCTCATCACATCCCAATTTACCCATACCGGGCTTGATAATACCCGTGTCTGTGCGCTTTAGTAGAAGTACGTAGGGCCTGTCGTGATGCGGCCCACCTTCAGTGAAGATATCACATGCACGTAGGTTGAGGATCTCCGAGGCCCGGCGTGACGTACACAATGCCAAAAAGACACAGAGTGCATAAACAGGCCCACTCCAATACAAGAGCACACCATAGAAAAGCTCCATGTCTTGTCTTGGTACATATAGCCACTGGCGATCTGATCTGGTCATAACTCGGCCTGTGTTCCACGGCTTCGGCTTCTTTGCTTGCTTAGCCTTTCTTTTCTGCTTCGGCCCAGGCTGGGACTTCGGCCTGACGTGTCTGCTGGCTGGCCGCTTCTGGACCATCGCAAGGACCGACCTCTGACCGTTCTGTCGCAACTTTTCAGCACAAACGCTTCAATGACAATGAAGTGTCGCAGAATCCGGGCACAAGTGACGAGCAAGTCACCGTGGCAGACTCGTCACGGCTATGGCAGGCAAAAAGCAGCCTAAGGCTAAGGTTAAGGCTGCGGCTAAGCCCGCGGCTGCAGCAGTTGCATCGCCTCCGGTGATGCATGTGGCAGATGATCTCAAAAGCGGCGTGAACAAAGACCTCTATGCTGACTTGCAGGGCAGCCTGCAGCGGATCACGGATCACCCGCTGTTCAATGGCGTCCAAGTGCTGGAAGCCTTGGACATCTCTGCTGACAGCAGTGCATCAGTGGAGCCCTTTTCCGAGGACACTTGGCGTCGGGTGAAGGCTGGCGCAATCGCGAAAGGCTTCAAGCCCACGTACACAGCAGGCGGCAACATCTTCTGGATTGACCCCTACCTGTCCTTGGTGCCAGGCATTCCGGTGAACCGGAAATCCATCCTGAAGCTTCAAAGCTCGTCCTTCAAGACTCCTCAGTTGGCTTTTGAGAAACGAAGAGCGGTGCATGTGGGCATCCTGGAGGGTGAGGAGGTGCTCAACATGCGTGGTAAACTGCGGCTTCTCAGCCCTGATGAGGAGCTCTATGCTTTCATCTTCCAGCTAGACAATGTCTTGGCCTCGGAGCCTGGTGAGCCTGAGCTGGAACAGTGGCTTGCTCTTGCGAAGTCATGGACGAAGACAGTGGAGCTGGTGCCGTCATTGACTGACATATACTGGCGATGCATCAACTTGAGAGAGGACATAGGGACGTCCTTTGACGTCTTTTATCGGTCCTGCATCCAGCGAGCGTACGAGGTGATCCAATTCAAGCTGGACTACGAGCGTCGCAGCCCCAACGATGTCTTGAGTGCAGCGGGAGTGTACCAGAAGTGGGTTGCGGATTTCTCAAAGCATGAAACAAGCGGAGGCGAACTCTCAAAGGCTTTGATTCTGATTCGGGTGTGATGTGCCTGTGATTCGGCTGTGGTCCGAGCTTGAAACAAGCGGATCGGCGATTTGTCAGAGGCTGTGATCAGGTTCTGATGTGGCAGTGATTTGGCTGGGATTCGGCTGTGATTCTGAAACAAAGAGGTTCGGCGATGTGTCAGAACTTGAAACAAATGGTTCTGCGAATGCTCAGAGTTCGAAAGAAGTGGATTCGGCTATCGTGTCATGTGGCTGTGGTTGTGATTCGGTTGTGATGCGGCTGTGATGTGGCTGTGGTTCGGCTGGTTTCGGGTGGAATGCGGCTGTGATGAAGCTGTGGTTCGGCTGCAGTGGTGTGAATCTGCGGTCCAAGCCTGAAGCAAGTGGATCGGCGATTTTTCAGAGGTTCCTGTGCCTGTGATGGTGCGATCAAGCGGCTGTGATTCGAGTGTGATGTGGTTGTGTGGGATTCGGCTGTGATCCGGCTAAGCCATCGATTGCTCGTCTCGCTGCTGAAACACAGTTCACCTTTTGTGGCAGGTGGTAAGTTCTCTGAGAAATGCAGGACTGTGATGTGAAATCATCGATTGCTTGTGTCGCTGCTAACGCAGAGCTCACTTTTTCTAGCCGGTCCCAAACTCCTGGACATCTTAGTTTCAATAAAGGTTTCTGAAGAAACTGACACAAGCAGATCGAAGATTTCTCAGAGTTTATATAACAGGTGCACCGCGATGTCTCAGAGCTTGAAACAAGTGGATCGGTGATTTCTCAGAGCATGAAACAAGCGGATCGGCGATTTCTCAGAGGCTGTGATCAGGTTCTGATGTGGCAGTGTGATTCTGAGACGGAACGGCGATGAATCAGAACTTGAAATACATAGGTTGGCAAGTTCTCAGAGTTCGATGCAAGTCATCTTAGTTTCAATGAAGGTTTCTGAAGAAACTGTTTGAGAAAGACTTTTTATCGCGGATATCTCAGAGATGGACACAAGCAGATCGAAGACTTCTCAGAGTTTATAGCAGGTGCACTCGCGATGTCTCAGAGCTTGAAACAAGTGGATCGGTGATGTCTCAGAGCATGAAACAAGCGGATCGGCGAACTCTCAAAGGCTTTGATTCTGATTCGGGTGTGATGTGCCTGTGACTCGGCTGTGGTCCGAGCTTGAAGCAAGCGGATCGGCGAAGTCTCAACGGCTCTGTTTCGGGTGTGATGGGGCTGTGAGATTGGGCTGTGGCCCGAGCTTGAAACAAGCGGACCGGCGATTTGTCAGAGGCTGTGATCAGGTTCTGATGTGGCAGTGATTTGGCTGGGATTCGGCTGTGATTCTGAAACGGAACGGCGATGTATCAGAACTTGAAATATATGGATTGGCAAGTTCATCTCAGAGTTCGAAACAAGTCATCTTAGTTCCAATGAATGTTTCTGAAGACACTGTCTGAGAATGAAATAGGTGCATTCGCGATGCTTGAAACAGGTGGATCGGTGATTTCTCAGAGCATGAAACAAGCGGATCGGCGAACTCTCAAAGGCTTTGATTCGGGTGTGATGTGCCTGTGATTCGGCTTTGGTCCGAGTTTGAAACAAGCGGATCGGCGATTTCTCAGAGGCTGTGATCCGGTTCTGATGTGGCAGTGATTTGGCTGGGATTCGGCTGTGGTTCTGAGACGGAGCGGCGATGAATCAGAACTTGAAATGCATAGGTTGGCAAGTTCTCAGAGTTCGAAACAAGTCATCTTAGTTCCAATGAAGGTTTCTGAAGAAACTGTTTGAGAAAGAACTTTCGTCGCTCAAATCTCAGAGATGGACACAAGCAGATCGAAGATTTCTCAGAGTTTATATAACAGGTGCACTCGCGATGTCTCAGAGCTTGAAACAAGTGGATCGGTGATTTCTCAGAGTATGAAACAAGCGGATCGGCGAACTCTCAAAGGCTTTGATTCTGATTCGGGTGTGATGTGCCTGTGATTCGGCTGTGGTCCGAGCATGAAACAAGCGGGTCGGCGAACTCTCAAAGGCTCTGATCTGGGCGTGATGGGGCTGTGATTGGGCTGGGTCCGAGCTTGAAACAAGCGGACCGGCGATTTGTCAGAGGTTGTGATCAGGTTCTGATGTGGCAGTGATTTGGCTGGGATTCGGCTGTGATTCTGAGACGGAACGGCGATGTATCAGAACTTGAAATATATGGATTGGCAAGTGCATCTCAGAGTTCGAAACAAGTCATCTTAGTTCCAATGAATGTTTCTGAAGACACTATTTAACTATTTGAGAATGAAATAGGTGCATTCGCGATGTCTCAGAGCTTGAAACAAGTGGATCGGTGATTTCTCAGAGCATGAAACAAGCGGAGGCGAACTCTCAAAGGCTTTGATTCTGATTCGGGTGTGATGTGCTTGTGATTCGGCTGTGGTCCGAGCTTGAAACAAGCGGATCGGCGATTTCTCAGAGGCTGTGATCCGGTTCTGATGTGGCAGTGATTTGTCTGGAATTCGGCTGTGATTCTGAAACAAAGGGATCGGCGATAACTTGAAACAAATGGTTAATTAAATTCTCAGAGTTCGAAAGAATTGGATTCGGCTTTCGTGTCATGTGGCTGTGGCTGTGATTCGGTTGTGATGCGGCTGTGATGTGGCTGTGGTTCGGCTTTGTTTCGGGTGGAATGCGATTGTGATGAGGCTGTGGTTCAGCTGTGATTCGGCTGCAGTGGTGTGATTCTGCGGTCCGAGCCTGAAGCAAGTGGATCGGCGATTTTTCAGAGGTTCCTGTGCCTGTGATGGTGCGATCAAGCGGCTGTGATTCGAGTGTGATGTGGTTGTGTGGGATTCGGCTGTGACCCGGCTAAGCCATCGATGGCTCGTCTCGCTGCTGAAACACAGTTCACCTTTTCTGGCAGGTGGTAAGTTCTCTGAGAAATGCAGGACTGTGATGTGAAATCATCGATTGCTTGTGTCGCTGCTAACGCAGAGCTCACTTTTCTAGCCGGTCCCAAACTCCTGGACATCTTAGTTTCAATAAAGGCTTCTGAAGAAACTGTTTGAGAAAGAACTTTCGTCGCTCAAATCTCAGAGATGGACACAAGCAGATCGAAGATTTCTCAGAGTTTATATAACAGGTGCACTCGCGATGTCCCAGAGCTTGAAACAAGTGGATCGGTGATTTCATGAAACAAGCGGATCGGCGAAGTCTCAAAGGCTTTGATTCGGGTGTGATGTGTCTGTGATTCGGCTGTGGTCCGAGCTTGAAACAAGCGGATCGGCGATTTCTCAGAGGCTGTGATCAGGTTCTGATGTGGCAGTGTGATTCTGAGACGGAACGGCGATGTATCAGAACTTGAAATACATAGGTTGGCAAGTTCTCAGAGTTCGATGCAAGTCATCTTAGTTTCAATGAAGGTTTCTGAAGAAACTGATTGAGAAAGAACTTTTATCACTGATATCTCAGAGATGGACACAAGCAGATCGAAGATTTCTCAGAGTTTATAATAGGTGCATTCGCGATGTCTCAGAGCTTGAAACAAGTGGATCGATGATGTCTCAGAGCATGAAACAAGCGGATCGGCGAACTCTCCAAGGCTTTGATTCTGATTCGGGTGTGATGTGCCTGTGACTCGGCTGTGGTCCGAGCATGAAACAAGCGGATCGGCGAAGTCTCAAAGGCTCTGTTTCGGGTGTGATGGGGCTGTGAGATGGGGCTGTGGCCCCAGCTTGAAACAAGCGGACCGGCGATTTGTCAGAGGCTGTGATCAGGTTCTGATGTGGCAGTGATTTGGCTGGGATTCGGCTGTGATTCTGAGACGGAACGGCGATGTGTCAGAACTTGAAATATATGGATTGGCAAGTTCATCTCAGAGTTCGAAACAAGTCATCTCAGTTCCAACGAATAATTCTGAAGACACTGTCCGAGAATGAAATAGGTGCATTCGCGATGCTTGAAACAGGTGGATCGGTGATTTCTCAAAGCATGAAACAAGCGGAGGCGAACTCTCAAAGGCTTTGATTCTGATTAGGGTGTGATGTGCCTGTGATTCGGCTGTGGTCCGAGCTTGAAACAAGCGGATCGGCGATTTCTCAGAGGCTGTGATCCGGTTCTGATGTGGCAGTGATTTGGCTGGAATTCGGCTGTGATTCTGAAACAAAGGGGTTCGGCGATGTGTCAGAACTTGAAACAAATGGTTCTGCGAATGCTCAGAGTTCGAAAGAAGTGGATTCGGCTATCGTGTCATGTGACTGTGGTTGTGATTCGGTTGTGATGCGGCTGTGATGTGGCTGTGGTTCGGCTGGTTTCGGGTGGAATGCGGCTGTGATGAAGCTGTGGTTCGGCTGCAGTGGTGTGATTCTGCGGTCCAAGCCTGAAGCAAGTGGATCGGCGATTTTTCAGAGGTTCCTGTGCCTGTGATGGTGCGATCAAGCGGCTGTGATTCGAGTGTGATGTGGTTGTGTGGGATTCGGCTGTGATCCGGCTAAGCCATCGATTGCTCGTCTCGCTGCTGAAACACAGTTCACCTTTTGTGGCAGGTGGTAAGTTCTCTGAGAGATGCAGGACTGTGATGTGAAATCATCGATTGCTTGTGTCGCTGCTAACGCAGAGCTCACTTTTTCTAGCCGGCCCCAAACTCCTGGACATCTTAGTTTCAATAAAGGTTTCTGAAGAAACTGTTTGAGAAAGAACTTTCGTCGCTGATATCTCAGAGATGGACACAAGCAGATCGAAGATTTCTCAGAGTTTATATAACAGGTGCACTCGCGATGTCTCAGAGCTTGAAACAAGCGGATCGGCGATTTCTCAGAGGCTGTGATCAGGTTCTGATGTGGCAGTGTGATTCTGAGACGGAACGGCAATGTATCAGAACTTGAAATACATAGGTTGGCAAGTTCTCAGAGTTCGATGCAAGTCATCTTAGTTTCAATGAAGGTTTCTGAAGAAACTGATTGAGAAAGAACTTTTATCACTGATATCTCAGAGATGGACACAAGCAGATCGAAGATTTCTCAGAGTTTATAATAGGTGCACTCGCGATGTCTCAGAGCTTGAAACAAGTGGAT